AGCACGCAGCTCTCCATCTCCTCTGGAGAACTGAGAAATCCCATCAAATCTCCTGGGAGTCCCTGGCAGGAGAACGACGTGCTCTTTAGACAGCAATCCCGAGTCCCCTTCAAAATAAGACAAGTGGGAATTCAAACGCCGGAAGTTTTCCAGCATAGAACGCAGTGCCGGGTACATAGCAGGTGCTCAGTGAACATTCGATGGATAGACGAAGGGACAGGAGGAAAGAGAGAACAGGAGAGGAGACTCATGTTAATTTTAGCCTAAAGAGTGACCTCAGTTGTTACCAGTCACTCGAGTTATAAAATAATCTAAGTAAACATGCATCTACTTTAAGCAATGTTCCTTGCTGGTGAAACTTGCAAAACAACCAGCTTGTAAAGTGTGTTCCTGGAAACTGAATGCGTAGTTTCTCTGTGCAGCTGGAAATCAGTTAAATATTTGGAGATATCTAACAAAAATTACTTGGATCATGGGAGAAATAGTTGCTTCATACTGCCCTCAAATGTTTATCGAGAGCTTAGTTATAAGGACATTCAAAATGAATTGAGTTCTTCTAGAGACCAAGCACAATTTTTTCTGGGATTTACTAAGCCCAAATGAGTTACTGACGTTGGATTTAAACCCNCAGCCTCCCCTGCTCAACCCCTGAGGGGCTTTATAGACCCTATTGTAGAGAAAGTCCCTCCTTCATGCTCTAAGCAAAGATTAAGGTTATCTGTGGTCTTAGCAATTATGTAAATAGTTTTGATCATTTTTCAAACACATTTTACTAGGAACTTAAGTCACAAACAAAGCACAGGGGTGAAAACCTTCATTCAAACCCATGCTTTGATCATGTTACTGCTGAAATAAGCCATACCTCTAGATTTTACTCACAATTTCAAATAGATTGATGCCCATTGCCAGTGCACGTTGGAAGGAAATAACTTGCAGTGCTGACAGATAGGGGAGGGAAGAGCGGAGAAGCGGAGGGAGCAGGGGAATTTCATTCCTTATCAACCAGTACTGGTGCTGGTTAAGTTTTTTAAAATATTCGTGTGTTGGGCCGGCCCAGTGGCACACTCGGTAGAGTGCGGCGCTTGGGAGCGCAGCGGCGCTCCCACCTGAGGGTTCGGATCCCATATAGAGACCGGTCCGCTCACTGGTTGAGTG